GTCATCCTTGTGGGTTCCTGGGGGTTTCCCTGGCATCAAGTTTCTTCCTAATTCCAAAATGCCCTCCCACCAAGTCTCTTTTATTACTCCCCCCCATCCTGCCTCCAACCTGCCTCCAGCACTGGGGGGGGGGCAGGGGGGTTGGGGGGATGGAGGGATGGGAACTAGAGTACACTGACTTTTATAGGACATTAGGCAGCTTGCAGATTGGAGCTCTCTGTACCAGGGGTGGAGATTAATGTCTGGAAGGACAGAGGGGAGACTTTCAGTCATCAGGAAGTGTGGTGTGATCAGAAGTTAGGCCTGGCTCACCATCAGCATCCCATCACCCAGGGCTCACTCCTGCCCCATAAATATTCATTGTGTAGACTCCCTTGGATCCTTTTAAAATAGCAACCAAGTACACTGTCATGTGCTTCCATTTGTGCCTGCTCTTGAGAAAGGTTATAAGTAAATTGCTATAAGTTCCATCAACGTGGAGACAATGAGATCTTCTTACCCAAAATAGCTGCTAGATTGAAAGGAAGATAGAACAAGTCTCAGGTACATTGGGGCTATTTGGCAGAGAGTTGAGTCCTGAGTCCTAGAACAAAATCCTGCCATTTTTTGTTTTTGCCTTGCTGTGTTATGATGCAAAAGGGAGCTAGGCAAGCCGGAAAGCAGCAGAGTACCCTTCTGCCTCTTTGCTTGGTTAGGATGGAAGTTTTTCACTAGAGTAACAATTTTTTCTTAATCAGGGTATCTTATGGAAAGACAGTGCTTGGGGGAGAAGGCTATAGAGATGTGGAAAACAAGCCTGAAATGTCTTCATAGGATATCTCTCTACTGCCATAAGAAGTCACGAGCAATTGGCACTCCAATGTCCAAAGAAGATCAGTTGCATTTGGTAGGCATGTCATTGGGAGAAGAAGAGAGAGGGAGAAATGCTTCACTATTTTATACTCAAAGGAAGAAGATATTTTCCCCAAAATAGACTCCATTATCCTAGAAAAATAATCTGGAGGCATAAGATAGATAGGGCTCCCCAAATGATCTTTAAATCCCCCTTGTCGCTTCATTTTTCCAGGACATCTGTGTAATGGGACTCTTCTCATGGGTGTGATTAAGATAACAATGGCTGCAGCAAGGATCAGGATGAAGAAAACTCCCAGGCAAGAGTGCAATGGAAAAGGCTTTTTTGGGGTAAGGTGGGAGGAAAGAAGAGCCCGCACAACTTTCTCTCAACTGAACGTGTGATTTTTGAGCTCTCACTGCCTCAGAAGTTGGAATGGTTTGGTTTTGTTTCAGTTAAACTTCCTTACTAATTACACCTGAAGGTATGATATTTAAATAAGAGGGTAACCGGGTAACCGTTGTCCCTCCTTTTTCAAGGGAGGTCCATGCACCGTGTTAAGTGAAATAAGTCATTCACGGAAAAACAAGTACCGTGTTTTCCCTCACATCTAAGGGACAAAAACATTGATTTGATAGAAGAGAACAGTAATTGAGGCTGGAAAGGGGAGGAAGGATGGACCACAAGGAGATGTGAGACACGTACCAGAATACTGTTAGATCAAAGCAACAAACTTCAGTGTTCAGAGCACAATGGTCCAACTGTAGTTTACAACGATTATATATCCTAATGTCAGCAGAAGAGTAGCTAGGTTCTCAGCATGAAGACATAATCACGAATCTGATTTGATCATTGCACATTGTATACATTCATTGGAAGTTTACACTGTGTCCCACAAATCTGATAACTATCATATATCAATCAAAATTTCACCCATATATTAGTAGCAGCCTCAGAACTGTGCAGGTTATTGGGAGCGGACTACTGCGATGCACTGATGACCACTGACTGAGCAATAAAATCAGACTTGAGAAGCAATGACCCCACAGTGCTGAGGTGAATGACCTACCCCAAAGCAAATCTTGAAATATTGGTTTTCAGAAGCACCGCATTGTTAATAGAAGGATGAGCGTGTCACTAGGGCATGCATATCCACTGGACAATTGTACCCATGGCAACTTATTACACCACCCTATGAGTTACACCCACATATGCTTGCATAGTATATAGCATCTAAAAAGAAGGAAAGGGGGAGAAAGGAAGGAGATGAGAGAGAGAAGAAGGAAGTAAAATGGGGAAAGAAGAAAGAGGGTTGGGAAGGAGAGGGGAAAGAAAGAAGGAGAGAGGGAAAGAGAAAAAGGAGAGAGGGAAAGAGGGAAAGAAAGACAATGAAAAAAAGAGAAAGAAATATTAAGTGACTCAGTTTTGACGAGTTTGCTTATGTAGTCTGTAACTTGAGCCCTTCAATCATCCCTTGGCCTACAACTTTGTCCCTGCCTCTCCTAAAACTGTAAAATACAGAGCACCAAGTAACCTATACATGTGGCACACATAGAGGTCTGGAAGTTTATGTAATACATCTGAGTAATAATAGAATCAGAATCCAGGTGATTCTATTTTAAGGAACAGAAATGGGAAAGGGATAGCCATACATCTCCATGATATCTAAAAATCAAAGATTCACCTGTAAGTTTCCAGGACACAGAGTACATCATCCCAACACATGTAGAGAAATGTCTCAGCACAGAAAGTGCTTCACAGGCAGGCATTGTCTGGCCAGTTGGTTTAGCTAAACAGGATGTAACTATCTTTAAGCTAAGTACGACTTGGATTCGCTAGAGAGAAAACACCTGGGGCCAATGAGGTTTGCAGACTTGTGCTCATTCACACTGTGGGCCAACACAAGCAGAGAAGATCAAAGCCAGCCAGAGTCCACTTAGGAAGGCTGGCTCTGCAGCAAGGGAGTCTCTGAAATCACAGGCCGGTTTCTCAGAGATAATAGGCTGTTTCTCTTGTCCACCCCAAAGATGCAAACAAACATAACCAGTTCTAACAGTTCAAGATTTCATCTTCTAGGAAATGAGCCTTCAAGCTCTGTATTCAGATTCTAAAATGTTGTGCCCTTCCCCTTCTATAAGTGTGTCTACAAAAAGGGCACTGTGCAGAAGAAAAAAAAAACTGTTTCTGTTTAACCTTAAATCCATTTTTAAATGGGAAAGTTTTGCTATTAGTGATATGAAAGAAAAACAACACTAACTCAAAAAATAAGTGTGGAAGACACAACAGGAACACTTTATAAAAATTAATAAGCTCAGCACAATATTTCAGACGGGGAAGAAGCATTGCTTTAGAGACAGATGCCTGTAAGTCTCCCTGAAGCTGCACTGCTTTGCGATCTCACCAGCCTCAGGGAGCTGCATTAAGCACAGGAAGACAGCAGTTCTAGAGGCTTCGCATTCCAGGCCTGTGTTTCTGGGGAAGAGCTCAAACTGGCAACATGTACATGTTTTCAGCCACCCAGTCTCAACCATTCTTTGCCCGTAGATAAGGGAGCTTTAAGCAATCTTTCCCAGAGACTTGAGAGCGCTCATTTTTTGTGCACAGTATCAATCTAAGGACAGTAGCGGGTGACTAAAGGCAACACAATTTGCCAAGTGTCTTCACTGCTTTTCTTGGTTTGAGCTTAAACTTTGGAGCCCCTTAGTACTGTGCTTTTAAGTTCATAAAATTAGTAACAGTAAGCAACCTTGGTCTGATGCTACTATTCCTCATTCATGAAGACGATGGAGCATTAATTTTTGCACAGAGCTTCTCCCAGAACAGGTTTGTTTGTGAGTCTCTTTACTTTGTTTGGGTGGTGCCTCAAAAATACACATGGACAGAACTTGTTTCACTGTCCCTGTTCCAAGAGGCGGATTCAATGCACAAGGGTAGTGTCAAGTGGCTTTCTGTGCCCTGCTTTAAACATTCTTGTGAACAGGGACCTGACAACATTTCTGCTTGGATACAGCACATTTGAACTAAAATGCTGATTTTTGAGAAACAACTTGCAAAAACAACAACAGCAACAAAAGAAACTACAATACTTTGCAATCTAATACAATCAAATCAAAAGAGTCCCTTTGAACACATTTATGAAAGGGGCAAGCACTTGTTTGCTGTTGCTGGTTAGGTCTTATAAAACAAATGATCCTGGTTAAATCAAAAAGCTACCATGACCTAGGACTGGACCATCAGGTTCAAATTAATGAGCTATTTGAAAGATGTTCCCACTCCCCATCGGCTCTGATAGGAGCCGATAGCCCTGTAAAACAGAGTCAGGCAAACCACAGTTACATAAAATGACTTTTCAGTTTCTGCACTCTATTACCCTTTACTAGTCGAGGAAAATGGTGTGATTTCCTGATTACTAAGAAAGCACACGAAAATCTTGCCTCCCCAATCTGAGCCAGTCCTGGACTAGTAATGAACAAAGCCAGGCCATCTGCTCAGAATATCATTACCACTTTGGTCATTCAGGCAAGGGATATATATCTGTTCTCTTTCCAGGAGAGGTTTAAGATGGGGAAATTGAAATAAGTGTACAGGAAGAGCTGTTTTAGCAAATAGAATTTCCTGGTGAACGGCTTATTTGTTACACTAATTCGCTACATCATCTTAATTTTCATATTGGCCCCAGATTTAACCTTTGGCGTTTTCATTTTATAGAACATTAAAAAAAAAAAAAACAATTCCAGAGTTTCTACAGTAAATGCTTAGGAAGAAAACCAGCCATGCGGGTGCTGTGAGTCACCCATCACCCCCACCCTGCTTCCTGGTGACTCTTCATTGGAAAAGCAGAATATTGGGGCTGAGCTAACATTTCTTCCTGGAATCACACTATGCCTCAGGCCATGTTAATTTCCTGAACTAAACAGTCTCTAATCTGCTGAAAGGCAGCTGGCTAACTGCTGGTGTCTGGCAAGTCCCCATCTGTCCCCTTTCTGGGGTCTCTTCCTGCTGCCTCCACTTTCCCTTTCTCTCAAGCAGGCGTCTCTCTTTGTTTTTAGGGGTCTTTCCCCCTGAACTTTCCCCTCTATGCCTGTGGACTTGAGCTCGTGTCCTTTCTCCCTTGCGGACCTCAGGCTTTGTCTAAGTGACAAGACACAGTTGTGTGGACTGTAGTTACCGCGCCGGTGATGGTGGAGATGATGACGGCGATGGTGGAGATGGGGTGCTGATGGCTGGGGAGCGCAGGCTGGGCAGCGTGGCAGGAGGATGGACCGCGGAGGCGGTGGAGAGTGGGGTGCGGAAGGGTTGGAGTGCAGTGGGATTGCAGGTGGGAGCTGTCCACGCGCCGAAGTGCTGAAACGCCGCAGCCATGGCATCGCTAGAGCGGGGACGGGCGGGGAGGCGCTGAGAACACAGAAGGAAGAAAAAGGCAACAAATACCTTCACACCGCCGCCCAGGCTTGCTTTGAGAATGTGTTTCTGCAGGTGTCCTCGCGGCTGAACTGGGTGGGTGAGATCCCCTATCCTGGCAGTTGGAGCTCAGATTTCTCTAGAAAGCTGTGAATGAGAGCCGGAGCTGCACGGGGCTGTGATTTGGGTAGGAGGCGTGTGCGCCAGAGACTGTGTCCTTCCACACCAAGCCTGGCTTTCCCCTGGGTCCTAAATGCCTCCGCAGGTTGTTCTCGCCCATTCCGGCAATACGGTACTACTAAGAATTGTAATTTGTTCACACCTGGGACAGAAAGTAAAGGAAACTATCACTCCCCACATTTAAAGCGGAGTCTTTTAGACAGTGTATTTCAAGTTCCAAAATAGACCAGTCCTGTGTATGTAAACCTGACAGATGGTAGGGCATCATATGCCTATGGAAAAAATAATTATTTTATTAGCAAATGACGTTTAGAAAATGAGCTGTTGGAAAAAGCTCAAATTAAGGCCCCATCTTGTCAAAATAAGTACACGTAAGTTAAATCCACCAGTGAAAATTAAAACACTTACAAAATAACTAAAAGGTACATATTTTAATGATCTCAGGATATGTAACATTTTCTAAAAAGAATAAAAAAAGAAATCACAAGAAAAAGGTCAACAAGTTTGAATGCATAAAATATTTCTTAATGCCAAAATGTCAAAAAATATAAATTACTACTTGGAAAAAATCACAACAAATATGTATCTCATGCACAAATATTTCATAATAAAGAGAAAAATGCCGAAGAACCAACAAACATATTTTAGAAATCAACTTCACCACTAAAAAGGAATGCCTAATTTGATATATAGCACCAAAGAAATACCAAAAGAAGAAAGGAAGAAAAGAAAAGATCACTGATGCCGCTAAGACACTACTGAGAAAATGTACCCTTCCCACAGATCCACTCAGGATGCATTTCCAGAGTCCTAAAATGTGTATGACACCCAATCTTGGGATTCTATTCAGCACTCTGTGTAGATAAAGATTTATGCATGTAAATTTCATTTCTGATCATAGAAGCTATCAGAACCAATAAAGTTAATTTTATACAGGATGTAAGATTTTCCACATCAAAGCTGCACTTCTGAAGAGTAAAGACAAAAAGAAATGCTTGCAAAATAGAAAAGAAGGAGACTAGACATTAAGCGTAACATTCAGCTTCCACCTCTCAAGGCTGGCAGGATCATGGGGTGGTAAGAAGACATAATACGTAAGTGTGCTTTTTGCTAAGGTGACTCAATTTTCTTCCATGTGTTTGCCTAAATTTACCACATTTACTTAAAAACTGAAAGCTTGAGTCTTTTTCCTGGATTCCTACTGTATATTTCATCAAAACTATAATAATTTATATAATAATTATAGCTCTCACATGGTATTGCTCCCTCCCTCTCCCTTCCCCCTTCCTGTCCCTCTCCCCACTCCTTCTCCAAGTCCCTCTCCCTCCTCCCTCTTCTTCCCCTTCTTCCCCCTCCTTCTCACCCTCCCTCTCCCTCCTCCCTCCTCCTCCTCCCTCTTCCTTCCCTTCTCCCCCCTCCTTCTCCCTTTCATTCTCCTTCTCCCCTTCCCTCTCCCTCTCCTTCTCCCTCCCCCTTTCTTATATGTGTTATGTGTAACTCATGTGTCAGAGGGCAGCTTTGTTCACTGATGCTTGCTGCCTGGAACTTCACAGTGTTCAATCCATGTGTCCTGAGTGGAAGAGTACCTGGGTGAATGGCATAACACACAACACATATAGGTGTATTTAAAGTATTTGATGAAGCTATGATTTTATGTGGAAATTGATCTGATCAGACTTATCCTATCAAAATGGTCTATGGGGGATGCTGAGATTTCATTGCTTAAGCTTAGTTGGAGGAGAGTCTTCAAAAGCACAGCTCAGCTCATCATAGACACATGCAAAGACACTAAATAAGAACTAGTCTAAGAAAACGCTTTCCCCAAAGAATTCCCACTTGTGCAATTTTCATTCAAACACATACATACTTTGATTTTTGTCTCTTACCCTGCCTTTCTCCACCCCTGATCTACTTCATGTACTGCAGTAGCCCTTTTGTCTCATGCCATGTTTTTTCCTTTTATAGATTGTACACATGAGAAAACATGTAATATTTGTATTGTCTGAATCTTCCTTATTTTGCATAACATGGTGATCCAGTTGCACCCATTTGGGGGCAAGTTACATGGATTCATTATTTTGTTTTCAAAAACTATAATTTTCTTTATCCATTAATCTCTTAATGGGTATCTAGAGCAGTTATGCAATTGGCTATTGTGAATAGCATTGCAGTAAACACATTTGTGCGGACATTTCTTGGTACGTTGACTCGGATCCCTTTAGCTGCACCTCTGGTAATGGTACAGCTAGATCACATGGCAGTTTTATGCTAAGGTTTTTGTGAAATATCCATGTTTATTTCCTTGGAAATTGGACTAATTTATATTCCCAACAACAGTACACAAAGATTTTTTTCTCCCAATCCTTGCTAGTATTAATTTTTGTGTGTGTGCTCTTGATAATGGCCATTCTGACTAATAGTCTATTTTTTCTTGATTTATGCCCTTTTAACAGTGTTGTGGGCTGAATGTGGTGACACAGGCTTATAATGCTATGCCTTGGGAATCTAAAGTAGGAGGATGTAGGTTGAATGTCAATCTAGACTATAAATAAATAAAGACCCTGTTTTGATATTTTAAAAAAGTGCTGTATTTTCCTTCTTCCAAGGCGCAGTATTAACTGGCAACACCCCCATACTTCTTTGATTCTATCCAGATGAACATAAATATAAGTCACGATGTGGGTATTTCAGAAGTGTGTAATTTTAAAATTGTTTTTCTTGAAGTTTACCAGTACTTCAATGCCTCTGTTTGACCAGTGTTGTTACCTTTTGGATAACCTTCACTATTGACCAAGACATTTGAATGACACCACGGATAATAGAGATAGGTTTTATATACACTTTCTAAATGGTGAGATAGAAAAATTATATTTATATGTAGGAAAAATAATATTTATGTGAACATATATGCTAACCATATGAATGTTGATGGTACTCTGCAAGTTGGGAAAATCATGACACCACAGGTCATCAAGAGATGGATGGTGACCATAAAAGCTACCTACTAGAGGAGTACAGTCCCATGTCCTAAAGTTTTATATCCAAGCTTAAAATTTAGCTTCACTGAAAATAATGTAAAAAGGCCTTTTGTTTTGGCTTTATCGGTTTGGGAGACAAAACTGCATGTAGCCAAGGCTATCCTTGAACTTACTGGCACGCAAAAGGATGGCCTTGAATTCCTGGTTTTTCTCCTCTGCCTCCCAGAATTATAGGCATGTGTCACCTAGCTCAGCTTGACCAAGTCAGTTTTACTGATTATTAGATTAGATATGTCTGATGTATGTGAACATTCACTTTCTCCAAAGTGCCAATGAAACAGTACCCTTTTCCTTCACACTCTACTTGTTAGTTCTATGTTGTTTATAATCCCATCTCTCTAGTCCAGTGATTCTCAACCTTCCTAATGCTGTGACCCTTTAATACAGTTCCCCATGTTTTGGTGACCTCAATCATAAAATTATTTTATTGCTACTTCATTTTGCTACTGTTATGAATCATAATGTAAGTATCTGATATGCAAGATACCTAATATTCAGCCCCCAAGGCAGTTACAACCCACAGAATGAGAACCACTGGAATGGAATAGATTATATTATTAAATGTGATAGGGTCTGTTCTATTTTTAAATTCTTACATAATTCAATTTAAAATTCTTACATGTGGATTTCCTATGTTGGGCTTTTCTTCTGTTTTCTAAGGCCCAGGGTGTCTTTGTTCACAATTTTTCCTAATAATGGCAAAACCAAAATTAATCTTCTCTGGTGGATTTTTCTTGCTTAGCCTCTGTGGTGGTTTGAATGAGAAGGGCCCCCCATAGGCTCATATGTTTGGATGCCTAGTCATCAGGGAGCAGAACTTCTTGGGAGGGGTTAGGAAATGTTGCTTGTTTTGGAGCAGATGTGGCTTTGTTTGAGGAAGTGTGTCACTGAGGGTACACTTTGAGGTTTCAGAAGCTCAAATGAGGCCCAGGGGCTCTTTACATGGTGCTGCTTGAAGACACGGGTGTAGAACCCTCAGCTACCATGTCTGCCTGGGTGCTACCATGCTCCCCACCTCAGAAGCTGTAACAAGCCCCAGTTAGATGCTTTCTTTTATAAAAGTTTCCATGGTCATAGTGTCTCTTCACAGTAATAGAACACTGACCAAGACAGCTCCAATTGACAGCGTGCTGATATTTTCTACTCTGCTCACACCCCTCTTACTCCTCACACTGCAGCTGCCTGAGTGTTTGCTTGTCAGGACTATCTCATGCACATCAGTGGTTGGTGACCAGGATGAGAGGACAGCCTATTCATGTGTGCATTGTTTACGCTTCCTGGCGTGCTCCTCCCTTGAGTTGCTTATATCCCCCCTCCCCCCATCTCCAAGGATCTTGTCAATGCTGAGTATACTATGATCTAAGAATGGTCAGGTTTATCTACCTGAGGGATGCCCTGAAGTTGGGAGTATAAGAATGGATTAATGCCCAGAGGAATTCTGGTCTTTATGAAAGAGGTATTAGGATAAGATAAGAATGGCAAAGCGACATGTTTCTGAACACCTGTCTAACTTGAATGTTTAAGGGCTGAAAAAAAACTTATGAGGACTAAGGTTCAAATTGTGACAATAAGAACACTCTAGCTAACTAGATCATATCTCATTCCATTTATAGCTATGTAACATATACTTCAATATATTCCTCATAAGAAATTCCTGGTGATGTTTCTATTATGTAAGGTATAGGCCAGTTTTGAAGTTCTGGAGTTTGTATCATCAGGATAGCTAGGGGATGCTG